CCATTCCTACCCATAAATACTCAACCCTATCATCAACATCATTAAGCAACAGACAGTCAAAATGCTCTCTAACACACAAGGCTACCCCACCACCTCTCTTTCCTTGCCTATCCCTTCTGAAGAGTTTATAGCAGCACTCCTGTGGTACGAGTCATACCACCATGTTTCTGTGATGGCAACTATGTCATAGTTTTTCTGCTTCCAGCTCCTCCTGTTTGTAGCCCATGCTGTGTGAATTCGTGTAGATGCACTTCAGTTGGGTTATTTTGGGGGGGAAAGGCCTTAATTCCTACGTGACCATTCTCAGGTGCTTCCATGGTTTCTGACACATCAATAACCTTTGTGGTTTTTGATGCTGCATGGATCTCCATCCCCTACCTCCACTGAGATGGCCGACTGAAGGACCTCAGTAGCACACTCAAGCATTGTCATGTCACCCCCAGGCTTATCTCTGGTGAGCCTGGTTTTATCCCTTTTCCCCTTCAAATCTAGTTTGAAGTTCATTCAATGAGCCCTGCTAACTCCTGTGCAAAGATCCTTTTCCCCACTTGAGATGGTGTACCCCATCTGTCACCAGCAGGCCTAGTGTTGTGTAAACTGACCCATGTTCAAAAAACCCCAATTTTGCTGATGACAGGACAGCAAATGTGCTTGAAGCTGTTGAAAACTACACTGAAGTTTTGAGGAGACTTGATAAGAAGTGCCAGGCTGAGCATCCCTGCACTGTAATGAGAGTACCTAGCATTGATCTCTCAATGTTGCCAACTTTTCTCAGCACAGAGGTCTAAATACCCAGATGTGCAATGGGGCTGCAATGAGCATGGCGCTCCCAGATGGTGCTGTGAGAGCATTGTGGCAATTAGAGCCGAGTAATTACCACCCAAAGCCCATGCATGCTCATCCAAGATATATTTGCTCGGGGAAGAGTTGCACTTTGTACACCTTGTGAGTTTGTTTTTCAGCTGTGCACAGACGATAGGGATCATCTCCTGGGGTGGATCACAGGGAGCATGTTTCTAGCTTGTTCTCCAGGATTTTCACATTGGGTGAGATGCTCCGGGACACAGCCTGGGAATGCAGTTTCCAAACCTCTCCTCAGAGCTATGTATAATTATATTTGCTAGACAAGTAACTGACCTTGTCCTTTGTCCCTGCCCTGGGCTGTGTGTCCAATTACTCTGCTGGAGTGCAGTGAGAAGGAAAATTAAATTTGCACACTGGGTGCTGTTAATAAATCCAGAGGCCACCTAATTTTTCCGCTAATGAGCCTCCTGGCAAGGCCACCAAAAGGTAGCGCTGTGGCATCTCCTGACATTGCTCAGATTCTTCCCTCCACTCCCCGAGCCCCGAGGGAAGCCCTCTCTGACTACTCAAGCTGCAGTACCTGTGCCCCAAAACAACACCACAGTAGGAGGGAGAGGCCAAATCTAGCTTAAGCATAGCAGGAGGCACCACTGAGTTTCGAAACGGCAAAAAAACCTGCTGAATGTGGGACTTGGAGGGCTGCAAACTCATCAGTTCAGACCCCGCTGAATTGTGCACCAGTGGGCAAGTGCAACAGGACACTGTTAGGGCACTGGGCATGAGGCAATGCCATGATTCCCGCAGCACCCACAGGCACACTCAGTTTAGGTGTGACCTTAAATTGCACAGATGAGAAGTTGCAAAGAGTTCCCCCAGTGATGCCACTGCTTCTCACTTCCTTCAGGCATTAAGCATCACTCCAAAATTAATAAAAAATTGATTTTAAAAAGATTATGAAGTTCTTCAGGCTAAAGGAAAGGTTAATGCTCCTCTCAATAGTCATGCAACTTTCACGTCTGCTGTCATAAAGAGTTGATTTTTCTTTCACTTTTAAAGAAAAAAATTTACACAATGAACAGGAATCCAGAAATAGTGACATAAACAGAAATGAAAGGATCAAGTGCCAAATTTGGATGGATGGCTGGGGCTTGATAAACCACTGCAGGCTTATCCCAACATAAATAATGCCACTCAATGTGATACTCACTGCCTGTGCTGGACAGGCCAAATAGTGAGTTACCTGGTACCACAGCTGGGGAAGGGAGATCCCAGCGCTGCTGTGGAGACCCCACGTTGAGATTCAGTGATTGCGGGCTCAATTCTTGCTGTTGACAACCCACACTGGGGCACAGTGTTACCTGGCTGCAGCACTGGATTCAGCAGCATGGCATCAGCATAAACCCCAAAATGCACCGTGGTGAATCAGTCCCTTGAATATTCACCACCTGCAGCTTCAGGGCTGCTCAGACTCAGGGATCTTCTAGTAAATGGGCGCTTTTTTTCTCCTTCCCAACATGCAAAAATTCAAATTCAGATCAATGCTGTCTCCAGAGCCTGAGGCACTTCTGACCTAAGACTGTGTTTTGCCCCAGCTCTAATTAAAAAATCACATGCAAACCCAGATTTTATTTTGGAAGCTAAATGGGCCGCTTTAAGAAATTCAAATCCTTGTTCTATAGCCCCCAAACCTGAACACTCTATGTTGTAAGGAGGGAACTGGAGCCCTGCAGCTCCAGCTGTTACCCCAGCAAGGGGCATCCCCCAGCTCCTCATACTTGTGATGGCACAGGGAGGTGTTTAAGGCAGCTTGGGCCTGGGACAGTGGTTTTTAAAATCAGGAAGATGCAGTGCTGGTTCTTGAGAACAAGGATGCTGGAGATCCTTCACCTTTGTCACTGTTGGTTCATCCTTGAAGCTCTTAAGCCCCTTTGGTCCCACAATTTAACCACAGCAAGAGGATTTCAACACTGACACTTGCCAAGCAGTGTTAGGCAACTTAATGTTTGCAGAGCTTTGAGCAGACAGCACTATATGTGCATAAATTTTGTGTTATTCCAGCCAGGCCACAAAATCCATGGAAATCCTGGCACTGCACATCAGCAAGATCTGTGGCTGCATGGATGCACCACCTCTGCAAGGAGTTTCCTTCAGCATCTCGAGGTGATGCACCCTGGGCAACTGGAACCAGAGGATGGCAGTCATGCTCAGTCTCCAGGAGCACAACTGCCCCCCAGCAACCCCTCTGAGAGGCACCAGCATGCTGGCAGCCCCCACACATCTTCCTTACCAACTTTGCTCTGCTGGTCAAATACACTCCATCATAACTCTCATAGCATAGTAATTCAAATAGCAAATACTTTTAAGAAAAACCAGCTGTGAGGTGTAGATAGAAAATAAACAAGCTACCGAACAGCTTCAGCTGCTGTGGCCCTGTAAAGGCAGGATAAGATGCTGCAGGGACACACCATGGGCTAAGATACCATAGGGACAGCCTCTCACTCACACAATCATTCTGCACCAGCTCAAAAAACCAAAATCAACGCAATGTCACTGTGGGGTCTGGTTCAGGAGAGCATCCCCAGATAGGCAAACACTCAGTGGCTCTTTTGCGTAGCTTTGAGTTCCCTCTCAGGCGTTTCCCCCCAAGACAAATTCAAGCATCTCATTTGTGTTTAAGGTATTGGACCTTATCCCAGGTGTCAGACCTCTGCCCACTCCCGGTTCAACAGGTCCCTCCCGCACCCATGCTCCCTCCTGTTTCACGCACACATGAGCCCCTTCACGTTCACTTCTGGTTACATGTGGAAATCAAATGTCAGGAAAAATCATCTCCACCAGTGGAGAAGGGCAGTCATCTCCAGCCTTTACCCCACGAGAGACTGGGCTGGAGGTGCAGGAAAACACAGGCACTCCCTCTTCAGTGCCCAACTGAATGCGAAGCAACTGCATGGGGAGCAAGTCCTCCGAGCAGTACTGCTGGAATCGTGTGCCATTGCACGCCCATCCCTATTGCCACCAAAGGCTGTTGGCAACCAGCAGCAGAGTCAGTAAAAAGCAAATTGAGTTTGTGCTGATGGGTGCGTGTAAGCCACCTTCTCAGTGCCACTTTTTGGAGCAACCTCTCTATACAGACTTGATAATCGAGTTGCTGTGCCACTCTTTTTTTTTTTTTTTATTGAGCCATAGAAGTGTCTGTAATGAGGGATTAAAATAGTAGTCGTGCCCCCTGATTTATTTTTTAAATTGTCGTGTCTACGCACGTGTAAACTACACCAAGTCACACGGCTGTAGACTGAGGATAAATAATACATCGCAATATATTAACTGAATGAGAATACAAACCACAGAAAAATATGTAGAAGAGGAAAATGCATTTGCTGGGTGGTAAGTTATTGGACCTTTAGAGGCAGGGAAGGGAGAGGCTGGGGAGGGGGGCGGTTTGCTCCTGCCTTCCCTCCTGCAGATAAATCACCAGCCTCGCAGTGCTTGCGCCTGAATAAAATATGACAGGTCTCTCTTGCAGGGCCAGCACGCGGCTCTGTAACGAGTCGCACCGCTCGCCATGCATACTGACTGCAAATCGGGTGGGTTATCAGACGCCGCCATAAAAAATAAACCTCTTCCCCCAACTGATTATGAACCTCATGCATAGCAAATGACAGAGCAATAACGCTCGCATTGCCTGCAGCAGAGGTAAAAAAAATAAAATATTTACAGACTGACAGGCTAATGGACACTTTCCCAAAGAGCGGTTAGAAAGAAGTAGTAAATGGGCCCGTGCTGATGCAGGGCAGCGGGCCCGGTCAGGGATCAAGACACACAGCACCATATCGGATAACATATAATTGACAGGTCACATCCAAATGAGTGTAGTCATGCATCATCCGGAAGGCTTTTGCTGGTTATAAAGACACTTGTAAACAATTCAGCCGCTGAACATGGCAATAATATGTTGATCCGGCATGTAATGAGGTGTTCCTGGAATCAATAAACTAGTCATGAAGAGCAGGGAGCAAGGTCAGCGCCTGCCTTTTTGATGACCTTTCCTGGCTGGTAAGGACATCATATACTCTGAAGAGGACTTTTCTCATATTGCAGAAGGCGCCGAGTGTCAGAACTTCCATTCGCAGCAAGCAAATGAACAGCCGGGCTCTGCATGCTAATGAAGTCCAGGCTATTTTCCACCTTTTCATCTGCACATTATGCTCTTGACTTTGGAGAAGGTGGGAATTAGGTTGGACCCTCGTGTCAGACTGCCTGATGGCTCGGCTCCGGAAAACTGGTAATTGAAGCTGATGACTGATGCGGAGGAGGCCTGAATTTGGAAATAAACAGTTTCAAGCACTGCATGTCATTTCTAGAGAGACTGCTGAGTGAATGGAAATGAGCTCTGTTTCTCCAGTCTAATGCAGTTTCTCAGCAGGAAAAACACTGTCTTTGAGACAACAATGCCAGTCATTAAGATTTAAATGTTCTGGCGATAATGTAAGGAATAGCACCTGCCTTCACAAACAGCACTTATGGAAATGCTGCCCCATGCCAGGGTCTGTGTTAATCTGCAGCCCCCCAGCACTGGTCCTGGAGGAGCTGGGATGCTCTGAACCCTGCAGCAGGGAGGGCACGCATGGCGCTCGGCTGTCACTAGATGGGTCAAAACACTGGAAAAAATATCAGTGACACTGAAAGTGTGGTTTTGAAGAATACGGAACTAAAACCAATGCTTACCACGCTGCATTTTGACCGTTTAATTGCTCTTCCCAGGCACACTTAGCAGAAAGCTGGCTGGCCTCATCCTCCACTGCTGCTCACTGGGGTGGCCTTAATTCACGTCAGCCCAGCTGCTGGCCCTGGAAAGATAAAAAATGGAGTTTCTAGACAAGGTACTTAAAGGCCAATATTTTCAGACACGAATATGAATGCTCTGCCATCCTAGCTATTGGGAAATAACATAAAAAATGTTGTAAGTCCTTTCAAAATCCTACCTGGTGGCATGAAACTGAGCAGAGCAACTTATTTGCTGAGGCAGAGGCAGCCTGGCAGCCTCGCAAAGGTTTTCAGGGCTTTGAAGTGCTGCTGTTGGGACATGACTATTAGTTAACAGTAAGGCATGTTAGTGATGACAGGCAGGGATCTGAATAAGAAACTAGCTGGTTTTCTGCTGCCAGCCAAAAAATATTTTGAGTCTTATGTTGAAAATTGGGAGACTGCCTACAGCCCATTCTGGCTGACAGGGGAAGTCGCAGAGGATGCTTCAGCACACATCACTCCTGTTTGATACTGCTTCAGAGCCTTTCTTTCCATCTATCCAGAATGGTTCATGTGTGACATGGAAAATAAGGGCTATTTGTGCTTTGAATACATTTTTTAAAATATATATTGGTTTTGGGGTTTTTTTTCAAACCCCAGTGCTGCCCCAGCTTTGAATATTTTAAAAAAAATATATATTGGGGGATTTTTTCAAACTTGAGTGCTGCCCCATCAGTGAGCTCAAAGCCCCTTTTGCAGGTTCCCTCCCAAATGTGGGCAGGACACGGATCCACACGCTTCAACAGCGGTAGCTGAAAGATATATGCTGGTGGTACAAGATGGGGTTCACTGCAGACAGGGTGTCCCCATAAGCCCTTTGGCACCCCATCCAGAGGCCACTGCACTCAACATCCCCCCTGCATCCCCACTGGGGCAGCTGCTTCCCGCTCCCCAAAACTGCTGCCCGCTGACAAAAGCTGCCGTCTTTCCCCTTGGAGGTGGCTGCATCTCAGGAGTGGGTCTGTTTGTATAATAGTTTGCAACCCTTCAACATGAAAGGATATAGAAGGATGCAAGTTATTATTATGAAAATGAACCAAGCAACAGACAAAAATATTCAGAAGATGTAATCTGCCATCCCTACAATGCACTCGCAGAGAAGAGCACTTGGCAGGCAGGAGAGTAGTCGTCAGATACATTGCCTTTTGTTAAATTGCTTTTGCTGTGACAATGCCTTTTAAAACCGCTTGCAATCTTAATTTAAAATACCTCAAACCTAAAGGTATAGGGGCCCAATGCTGGTCTCCAGTTTGTGATTTGTCCAAAGCAATTCCACTGGCTTTATACCACAGTTCCTCATTTTAATCACACAACAAACAGGGGAGGCTGAATTCCACTTGTAAGAAACCGTGGGCCTGATCCAAACATCACTAAACATCAATTGAGTGAAGATTTATTTCTTTAAAGCAGTGAAGTCTGCCTGCCACCTCACTTCTGTCCAAACCTTTGTCACGTTCAACTAACAAGAAAGGTCGTCTCCCTATGTAGTCAGCTTTAGCATGCAAGATGGGGGTAAATGCAAAATTCAGTCTTTTTGTTTTTTCATAGTTTTAGAAAATGGTTAAAAGTATGGAATGGCTAAATGCATTAGTGCAAGAAACTACTGCATTTCTGTTTTCCAAAGATGAAGTAGTGGGCAAAAATAACCGAAAAATAAACCAAACAGCGCTTTCATGGTCTTTCTCTATTTTTGCCACAGCAGGCTGCACGTCGTTCCCAACTGTTCACCACCACACTGAGCCCAAGATTCCGAAAGACCGAAGGTTTGGGTGCAGGAGCTGGCTCTGCACCCCTTAACTCAGTGCTTAATCAAACGTCACACAGATGCCCGCTGAGGCCCAGGAGGTGCTGGTTTTATCCTCCAACCGCCTGAAGGGAGCCAAGAGACTGGAAGTGAGAGGTGGCATTGCTGGTGTCGTTCACGGTGAAGGGCAGGTGTGTATCAAGGCAGGGTACAGCAGGGTGACGCCATTTTCGGGTTCACCCCATCCATCAGCACTCCTCCCGGCCTCCCAACTTCATTAATAACCTCCCTCCCTATGCTAATTCCATCAGAAAATTATGCAGACTGTTTATATTTCTTTACAACCAGAACAGGCTGCTGACACAAATCAGCCATTAGTGATTCACATTGAGGAGTCTCCGCTAATTGTGCAGAATGTAATTAGTGATTATGTAATATCTAAGCTCTTGCAACTGTCATTAATGTCCACTATTCACCAGAGATAGTTCTTACTGAATTAGAGAATGATTACCGCATGGTAAATCTACTTAATCCTAAATATGCTAATTAACACTGTATGCACTTTAGACAGTGGTTAAAAGCACTAGTAACCTCAAAAAAGGTTGCAATACACCAGAATCTAAATTGCTTGCAATGGATTTTCCTTCAAAAGGTAAATTTGTTTAATTAAATGGCATAGTAAACTGTTAGGCACAGCTATTGATTAGTGCAACCCAAGCAAGGGGTTTTTGTAACAGATCTAGTGAGGTGCTGGCGCAGGGCAGTGATGCTCCTGCAGCATCCCAGTCCTCCTGCAAAATCCCATCCTTCCTGCAGCATCCTGGTGCAGGCCCAAGCTCGGCAGAGCCCCTCGGCCAGGGGGGCTCCATATGTGCCTGTACATGCAGATACTGCCAAACAGGCATGAGGTCGCCTGCGGAGCCTTATGTAAAGCAGCTTTCCAAAAGCTCTCCCTCCAGGATTAAATACCGTATTCCTTAGGTCATAAACCATAATATTACTACAGGCAGATACAGTAGCTTCCTTCAATAAATTCTTACTTAAATCTTAATTTCAAGATTTATTTGTGTAAAACAGACTTTAGACATTAAATGCTACCTACTAAATGAATGGAATAAATAGAGCAATTGTACAGTTTTAGAAATGTCTCTTTCGAATGCCTGGGTGTTTAATGTATTCTGCTTTTCCATAAAAAAAAAAAAAAAAAAAGATATGGCTGTCATGAACCCCAAGCATAATAGCATTTTGTGATTTATGAAGATTCTTCCTGCTTATATATTTTATATAAATAATACTCCTGCGTGTATCTCTGCACTCATTCATAATCAAAAGCTGCACAGGCTGTAAAAAGAGTTTGCGTAGTAACATATTTAAAATCAGCTTACAAAAATTGGATAACTAATATATCAGACACAAAATAAGTCATTGTAGCAAGCATACCAAAAGGAAAATTAACAGCACAATGCAATCCACGACATGCTTTTATCAGCAGACTGACACAACAAAAGAGCACAAAACAAAAATTCCCACAAAAGAAAGTTCCTCAATAAAAAATAAAAAGTGAAAACTACGATAAGAAATTAAGCACACTCTTAATTTACCTGGGCGCATTAAATGTTTGCAGCTGATAACGAGATTGCGAGTGCTCTTTGAAAGCTGTGCAGTGCGGTGTGTGCCAAACCCACAACCGCTCTGCCCATACCGGGGGGGAAACCTGGTGGGAGATGGGGGCTGGTCCCCATGGCCCAGAGCGGGCACTGCGGGAGGGCCACACCCTTCCCTGCCACGCTGTGGCATTTTAAGGGGTGCAGATTTCACTCTAACAGCTGCTTTCTTCCGCAGAGGTCGGCAGCATCCCCTGCTCACGAGAGCTGGAGGATGCCCCTGATGTCGGGGCCTGGATGAGGAGCTGACAACCCTTCCTCCATGGTGTGGGTGATGCACAACACCCCCAGAACCCCTGCCATGGCCACGCAACCCCTCTGGCACAGCCCAGCCCACCGATGGCATCGTCCGTGCCACCCTGCTGTGTGGGTTACCAGGAGCACATGTAATTGCCAGGGATGAGGGGATGTCCCTACGGCCACGGGCCCCAGCCATGCTCGCCCCGGGGGGGGGGTGTGTGTGGGGGGTGTGGGTCGGAGGGGCTCTGCTCCTGCTGCTGCAACACTTCCACCACCCCAGAACGGGCCCCCCCGACCCCTCTGCTTGACAAAAGGGACCTGCTCTGTCAAGCAACTCCAAAACCATTGCCCTGGGAGTTGAGGCTTATGGTCCTGCTCAACCAGAGAAAAAAATATTGTTCTAGATTCAACTTCAGAACCCAGAGCTCTAGACTAGTACGACAGCTTTAAGGCTGCTGCCTGGACCTCCAGTCATGCTTCTGGATTTGTTCACATCTATTTAATTAAAAATACTTTAAAGCCCAGGCTGACTTTGAATTTCTGTCATTGCTGCTCTTGGATACCAGTCCACCTTGGCTCAAAACCAGCTGGAAGACACGGCTGGGCCCTGCAGTGCTGACTGGGCCCTGGGATGCCCAGTGGTGGTGTCCTGAAGCAAAGCTACACTTTAAACATCCCAGTTTGGTGGGTCATGAATGTGTTGAACATTTATATTCATTTTTTCATGAAAGTTTCAGGAAGGTTTAGACTAAGCAGACTCGGTATGCATGGGTGACAGCCTTATAATCCAGCGACTTAAGAGTCGCTATGCATTTACTTTATAAAGGAGCTGTTACAGCCTATGGCATTGAAAAGAAGATGTCTCAGGCACCTAAATAAAGATTTACACAGAAAGCCTGACCCCGATACTGACTTAGAGGATTATTTTCAATCATCATTGTCAATAACATGGGCCTTGAATTCCGCAAACCCTTCCTGCCCTGGAAAAGGTTTGCAGAATCAGCTTCACATGTTTTAAATGCCCCTATACATACGGCAGCCTATAATTACGAGACAAAAAATATATGTACAGAAGTGGGGAAGGAGGAGGGTGGGTTAAGTCTGTGAATTCAAATGTGACATCCCTGAGCCATGCATGGATCTTATATGGCTTTGAAAACCTGGGTTGCCTCTGCACTGCCCCGTTCTGCTCCACCTTCCCAGAGCCACCTTCATGAGAAGGGCTCACACAAGCATCCCTTAAATTCCCCCCACCCTCTGAGGAATGAGGTTTGTTGGGATGTTGTTGGCTTTCCCAAAATCCCCAGCTGCTGGAGCAGGGCTTCCTAAGAAAATCAGCTTTTCTTTCTTTTTTGAAAAGAAAATTGCTAGCATCACAAGGATGCTAAAGTCCTCAACAGCAAACCAGGCAGCAAATAAAAAACCAGCCTAAGTGTTTCAAAGTTACTATTATTTTTGAAAAGATCATAAGCTCTGGCTCCCAAATCCTACATGCCACCAGGAGAGGAAGCACTTCCATGTCATTAGCGGCACCAGCAGGCAAGCGAAGCAGAGTCCCCAAAGCCTCTCGGAAACAGCTCATTCCCCTCGCACGTGCTCCCAAGCATCGCTTTCCCCCTCCCTGTGCCGCTGCAGTATCATCTCATTAACGCAGCCCTTCCCAACTGGTAATAGCAACCCTGGCCTTAAATACCTCCGTGTAGCTACATTAATTCCTCAAACAGCGCTCTTACCTTTTAGAACGGTAAGCCACTGAAGACAGTCAATAGATGATGAGATAACGGTTGTTATTTCAGTCCTCCGTACAGCTGACGGGCTTTCTCCACCACAGGGCAGCTCACTCCAAGATGATAAAGCAAGCCTGCTATCACAGCATTGCCCTCTCCTCGCAGGCACTCGGGGACTCCGTCTGCCCTGTGCTGAGCCCTGCCGCTGGCTCTTGGGGAGGCATGGCCAGCTGCAGGAGCCTGTGGGGGACAGATCCAGCCCAGGCATGACCAGCATCACCATCACCCAGGCAGCTGCAAGGGTCCCGGAGGGGACATCAGGGCTCCACACTGCCACCTGCAAGAACAGCCTCAGTGTCTGGAGAGGGGGTTTGGCTGGCTGCAGGTGAAGGGCTCTTCCTCCCCCCCCCCCCCCCCTCTTCTTCTGGCTTATTTTGCAAAACTTATGCCTACTTTTGCAATCATGTCTCTAGCTTCAGTGGCCAACCTTCTGCTGAAGGCCAGCCGAGAAGTGCTTTGCAGTGGGGCTGAGTGCAAGAGGGACCCCACCAGCACCCATGGGCAGCAGCTTAAGCAGAGCCTCTAACCAGGGCCTAGCCCAGTGCTCCTGCTGCCTCCAACGCATGAGGGACACATGCTCTGCCTGCGGAGCTCACTCACAAATGCATGCACTGGGTTAAGGAGGAGGGCTTGCCATCCCTCATGTCTGAGCTGCCATGCTCACCCTGGCAAACCTTCCCGCCCTTTGCTGATGCAGCTTCCCAGCACCAGCAGCACCTTCCAGTGGTCACACCCCTCCCCGAAGTCTGCTGGAGCTCCCCAGCAAAAGCCCTGCTGGCTTGTTCCCCTACCCGGCACAAAACACAGCAGCATGCTCCTGCAACTCAGCAGTCCCCAAGAGCCCTGGATGAGGTCACAACAGCCACGTTACCCCCAGGAAAGGGGCTCAGACCAGTCCAGCCCCGCTGCCTGGGCTGGCTTAAATAGCTTTGCCTTTTTCACCTGCTGAAGCTCACCTGAGCTACAGACCCCCAGCCATGTGCCCACCTCCTCCTTCCCGCTGGAAGGCATGGTGAGTCCAGGAACGCACAGGAGTGTGCCTCTTCCCAGCCTGGGGGTTGGCCTGCAGCCCTGGTGAGGAGCTCCACACTGGGCACAGGCTGAGCTGGTGAACGCTGCAACAGGGCCTGAGCTCAGCTCTGCCAAGCCAGTGCTTCCCACAGTGCTGGGCTGCAGCACAGTGCAGCAGACACAGGTGCGCGTTGGGCTGTGCATCCCGTCCCCGCTGCCTGCTCTGGGGTACTGCATCAACTGCATTTGCTCCTCCACCAGTTCGTGGTCCCATTGCTGCCCACCAGGAAGACTCATCTCTCTATTGCTCTGACTTTAGGTCCTTCGGCCAGAAGCGTTTCAGCACAAAATGGCAAGTTTGTGTCTGTATCACCCTTCCCTTGAAAGGCCTAATAGTGTATTTCAGCCAAAGCTTGTACCGTGTTGGTATTTTTAATTAGCAACCTCTAATTATTGCCAAAGCAACTTACGAGGGAAATGAGCAGTAGTATAGTTTAAAAAAAAGAGTCAACAGCCCAGCAGCCTGGGGTCTGACGCTGGGCAGTGCAGGCGGGGGATGCTCTGAGGAAGGATGCCTCGGCTGGGGCTGGGTGAGGGGAAAGATGCCAGCGGTGAGTGCCCACGGCATCGGTGGGATAGTGCGGCAGCGGCTCTCCCCCTGTCTCAGCGTGCCCCCAGCTGGCAGATCCACGGAGGGATTTGGGGAGCAGCCCACGTCGCTGGCTGCAGCCCCTGGACGTGGCTTAGGAAGGATGGTGGCACCGCGCGGGGCTGGGGAAGGTGCCACCACCAGCACCATCATCTCCCCACTGCAGCATCCTGACTGGATTCACTAAACCCAGCACTTGTGGAGGCTCAGCACTGTGGGCACGCTGCACCTCCCCACTGCCAGGGAGGGGGTTTGCCCCTCTTTGCAGGAGGCTGGGGGCTGCAGACCCCACCTCAGCCCTAGCCCCTGCTGCTTGGGAGCCAGTGATGCCAGTCTTCAGGAGCCACATATGTACAGAGCCCTGTGCAATTTTCCGCCCTGAAAGTGATTCATTTGGCCAACGCTTATTTTTCAGCAAAATAAAATATTTCAGTGAAAAAAAAAATGGAAATAATTTCTTCCTGTAAAGTCAGAACTGATGACTTCTCCCAGAAAGCTCCTGCAGCTCCGTGGTGCCTGACTGCCCCTTCTCCCCCATGGGGACCAGCATGGGTTCTGAAGTGAGCAGCCCTCACTGCTCCGAAGGAGGCAAGGATGGGCAAGGGACAACACACGCTATCCCAGCCCTCTGGCCAAGCTGCCCACCATTCCCACCAGCCTCTGGAGATGAAGCAGATGTCTGAGGCCAAAGGCAGGCAGTTTGCAAGCAAAGAGGGGATCGAATTGATCATGTCACACCTTGGCAGTTGTCTGTACCACTGGCTGTGGTGATGAATACAGAAGTCAACTGCGGAAAGAAATGGAGCCCCTTCCTGCCAAAAACCTGTCCAGTGGCCAGGTGTGCGTGTACCTGGTGCCGGGGGCTGTGAGGACCGTGCAGCAAGCACAGAGCCTGCACCCTCCCTCCCCTGTATTCCCCTGCTGCAATAGCGGCAGTGCTGCATGGGGAACCCACTGTTCCCATGATGCAGGAGTAGGAAGGACGCTGCGGATGGACTTACAGACAGAGCTAATTGGCCTTCTGGGCTGGGGAATGGGCAGTGTGAAAGGCGATGCATGAGCCATGTTGCTCACTGTAAACCACAGCCATGCAAGTATGTGCAGACACGCACAGAGCTACACGTGTGTGCACACACGTGGATATACACACAGGTGCACACACATGTGCCTATGTATAAACACAGGCTCTCCGCTGAGGGGACAGCTTGTGAGTCCTGCATTTTGTAATGACAGTCACCAGTGACGGAAATGAAAGAATTAGCCACACAATAAACCCCTAATTGCCTGGCAACAGCATTTAGGCCCCATTAGGTAGATTTGTAACTGCTTCCAGAGAAATAAACTCCTGTGTCATTAGATAACAAGGAAAGAAATAGGTTATTTCCTTTTTGAAAGGTATGAAAGCTTCCAATTGCCTGATGTATTCGCTTAGTAGATTATTTTCTGTCATCTCAGTTAATTGAATTTTATCCATTGCTCTTAGAATTCCTCCCTTTCGTGTAAGGTTAAAAAGTTCAGAGGAGTCATATTTTTGAACCTCATCCATTTATCGCATAAGCGAACTCCAGCTGCACAAAGTGTGCTGGGGAAAACAGAGTAACAAAAAAACTATGCAATAATTGCTTTTTATCATCTGGGTGAATTGGCACCCAAATAATTGTAAAACTTTTCTAAAGAGCATCCAGTTGGGATGAATAACTGGAATATATTTGCTGAGCCAGGCAATGCACTGTCCATGGACCAGCCAGCTGTGTGACG